AATTCCTAATAGTTTAATACATTCAATAAATAATCGTGTATATTGTACCTAGTCATGTTTTTTATATGCTTTTAAAAATATTTTTTAGATTTTATTGTATTTTTATAGAAGTGTAAAATAAAAATTTTTAAAATATTGCAGTGTCGTAGGCGAAGTTAAGGTGAGGAGCTACCACGATAGAATTTATTAAATTTTGCGCCCCACATATTTTAATTTTGTGTAGGCGCCAAATTTCTTAATTTGCCCGTGTCCGTAAGGGCTCTACGAGGTCTGTGCGTTTGGCAGCCGTCTCTGTAGCGAGCTTCTAGTCACGGTAATGGTTAATTGCAGCCAATACCATAGATAAGCCAATACTCAATGGCCATTATGTTAGAAGTATTTGTCAAAACAACACTTAACCTGCAATTTTATAAATTGTAGTAATTATAAAGCAGCATATCAACAACATTTTGCTTATGATTTTGCTTTTCTTTTTTCTTAAAAAATTAAATGGAAAGTGCAGTAGAACAACATAATTTTAGTAATGTGTGTATTATAACAAGTTGTTTATAACAGAATCGGTGTTATTATATACGATTTGTTTCAGATAATGGATCCACAGAGCAGTTCTTACAAAAGTTACTTGGTTACTCAAAAATTGCCATTGCAAGTGAAAGATGAAAATTGCCCTCATATTTCAAAAATTATCGTAAGTGTTTATAATTAACTATAACATGAGCAATATTTTCTGGAGAAATTGACAAATGAATACTAATAACTAAATACTTTTTACAGAAGGACGTGAAATTTGATGTACTTAAAGTAGTTGATTGTAACACTAAAGAAGAAGAAAGGTGATAAAGATTAATTTATTATTGTAGGCAGATATTTTATTATTTATTTACATGTTTCAGTTTTCTTTTTAATTACATAGGAAACGATGGTTTGCACTATTGCCTGAAAACAATATTAAATGATTTCTTTAGCAAGGTAGCTCACCAGACTGTACTAGTTTTTATGGATGTCCTAAATAATGGTATTTTTTAATTCAGTTAATTGTCAATAACAACAGTTAAATATCTTTTTTGTAGTTTCTCCACATTTTGATAAGGAAATTGAAGATATATTTCACAAAGAAGCTGCAACTCATAAAATTGAAAATCTAAAAGTGTCAACTTTTGAAATAGCTTTTGATACTTATACAGATTTTGTAAGTGGCAACCAAACTTCATTAACAGAAGCAGACTTTACTTATTTTGATTGTAAAGTTGTTAAACTTAGAGAAATATTAAAATTCTTCAAAACCAGACAAAGAAGTGGATGGCAAGCTTTTGTAATAAGGATAAATTATACAATTAGCTGTCATATACAGAAGTTGTACGTAATATGTGAATAATTGAATCACTGGATCTGAACTTTGAACAAATAATATTGTTTTAGGTGTAACATTGTCTTTCTCAATCCAGAATTAAGCACTGTTAATGATGGGGAAGATATTATTCCTGTTAATAGATCTTTGACAGCAATTTTAAATTGTCATTATGAACCCCAATTAAATTGTGGTTTTACAAAATTTATTTACACTTTAACAAGGGCTACTAATGTGTCTGTAGTTGTTAAGTATCCAAGTCAAGAACATAATTTTATGGGTGTGAAAACAGTATTATTTCACTCCTGCTTTAAATATGTAAATTCAAGTGACCCAGGAGAAATTTTGAAGTCTAAAACAAAGACAGGGGAATACATTAAGAGACTCAGAACTAAAATCATCAAAATAGAAAAAGAGACCAGGGCCAAGATTGTCAAAGAACTCAGTGATTTTTATTTTCAGCAATATTCTGTATTAAAGTAAGTTTAGAGAACAGGAGTTGTAAGTTTATTTGCAAAGTTTTTATTAATTTTAGAGAAAATTATGCTAAGGCATTATCTCAAATAGAAAACTCAAGGGATGCTTCAGAAAATATGGAAAATGCCAGTTTTAGTTTTAACCATTCAATAGCAGTACAGAATTTCAGTGAACTGGGAGATTGCTCTTCAAAAATAAAAGGTTTGGTGTATTTAATATTTGAAACTCAGCGACAATTCAAATGCTTTATCGTAATGAATAATGAACTACTGAAGGTATGTTATTTGTCCTTAGTACATGTAATCTATCTAATGTAAATTGAATTTCAAGAATAAAAAAGACTCTGAAAAATATTTAGAAGAAAAAAATGAATCATTGGAAGTCATGAAAATGGAAATTGAAAACTTAGAAAAGGAAAAAGCGCGTCTTTTAAATGTTATTGAAGTTAAAGACATGGAGATGACGGAACAAAAACAGAAAACTTATAGAGTAGTAAAACATTACCAAAGGGCTGTTAAATTTTATCAGACAAGTCGTGTAACAGATCAAGAGATAATTAAAGCCAATAGAAAAGAAATACATTCTCTACTTAGATACATAAATCAATTACGTAAGAAGGTAAACTAAATGACTTCACATATTTGTAACATTTAAACTTACAAAGTATTTTATAAAAAAATTAGGAATCTGGAAGAACTAGTGAAAACGTAAGAAGCAATCCACCTTTCTCAAAGATGATTCAGTTGAAATATTTTCGGAAATCTCAGTCCCCCAGTGCAATAGTAAGTTCATTATATGTTACTAAATATTGATTACTACCTTATCTTTTTTTTAGAAAAATTGTATCAAGGAGAGAAGAGACTATTACAAAGATGATGATAACACAAAAGTCAATAATGTGACTAACGTAAGCGAAGTGCCATTTGTTAGAATTAGAGTACAAAAGTAAGACTGTAAGAGTTCTTAAAGTACCATTTTTTTTTTCTTTTAATTGTAGATACGCTTTTATCTTTCTCTTTTTTTATTTTTTAAATGTAACAACCTTGTTACANCAAAGACGACTGCAAAATCATGTAGGTATTACAAAAAGAAACTAAAAGAGTGAGAAAATAATCATTCCTGTTTCAAAGTTAAGGCCGCTTTATTTTAAAAAGGAAAGCTACTAAATGTCCCACAAGCATAGAAGATAAGAAATTAAAAAATAAAAGGCACTAAACCGAAAGTATAGTCTTTCCTAGTATTATCAATATTTTCTTAATCCATTCGACTAAATTATAGAATATCGATACCAAAACTACCAGGACTTTACATTTCTATTTTTAAGCCTACTCACATTTTCGCCAGGTCCTCCGAAACCCGCTAAATTATAGTCTCCCATTCCGCTTGCACTATCGTCTCTTGGTGTTCCGGGACCGCCATTGGCGGGAGAACTTTTCATGCCGTCTATTCCGTCTCCATTTAATACAGGCCCCATTGAATTTGGTCCCATTGGACCCATGGGGCCACCCTCGGGACCACCACCCATAGAAAATTCTCCTGGCATAATGCCGCCAACCGCCGGCTTCATTGTCGTGTACATATTTTCACCGCCAGAATTTGACGAATCTTGGGGACTGGGCATTATTGGTGTTCCTGGGCCAGGAGGACCTGCTGACCCAGGTGGACCTCCATAGTTCCCCGGCGATGATGATGAGTAATTCATAGGCTAAATCAATAAACACTTTTATTTGTTTTTGTTGTCTTAAGAGCAGTTAAAAATAAATTAAGACACACGTGAAAATTAGACATCTGGGGAAGAAAACTCCCATCAATGAAAAATTTTAACGTGTTGTAGAAAATAGAAAATTATAAATGGTTACACTTACACTAAACGATCTTACCGTTGATGTGTTTGGTTGCCACTGTGGTCTTCCCCCTGGGCCGGTCATTGACATTGGAGGCATAGGACCTCCAGGACCTAAACTACTGTTTGGGGGAGGTCCCCGTAATCCGGGACCGTACGATCCAGGACCAATGGGACCCATCGATGGACCACGCGGCGGATTCATTCTGGGGTTCATGGGATTCATACCTGGTGGACCTGTAGGATATTTACCTCTAAATTAGCGGTCAGAAGCAGGTACATTAGCACAGGTTACAGAAGGCATGCTAGGCTTCACTAACAAATATACAGATGCACATAGGCTGATCAACTATAACAATTAAATATGTGAAAGGGGTTTAAAAAATCGCGGCATTTTGACATTATTTCAAACGATTGTAGAGAACTTTCTTATTTGGATATTTATGCTAATATTGCTTAGAATGATACAAAAAAAATTATACATCATTAAAAGAAATCAAAAGAGGAATTATTCATGTTAACTGCAAAAAAAAACTGATTGTCCAGAAAGAACCAAACAAATGCACACAAAAGTTAGTTACTGTTGAAAAATTATTTGTTTTTATAGATATATATATATATATACACAGATAGATAAAAGCACATGATCACCACTAAATAGTGAAATCTATGAAAAGCTAAGCAAGCAGCATGTGCAAGGGGACATTTCTAGTGGTGAAGGAGCGCATTGCCTACCTTGCCAACCTACAAACTCTCCGCCTTCACCTGGAGACAGAAATAGATGCATTACATGAGGCATATCATTAAATTGGCATCATGCTTGTGCTCTTTTATGGTAAATTTCATTTAAAAATCAATCAATTAATCAAAAGATGTCAAAGCATAGTTATTAATTCAAAAAAAGTTCTCACCCTGTCTTGTTGGATCCATATTATTAGGCATCATTGGTTGACCTGGGGGCTATAAAATTTTAACATAAATCAACAAATTTTTCATCAATTAACAAAAATGGCATTATGTATCAAAATAAACTATTCATTAAATTTTTAAAGTTGTCTACTAACTCCATTAAAATCGCTTCCTATTTGCGGCATTCGAACTCCTGGTCTAGGGCCTGGAGGATAGCGTGGTCCCATGAACGGTTGTGAAGACATCATCTGTGAATGGGGCGGAGGGGGTTGTGAATGCGGTGAAGGTTGACTTGACGGGTGGGTTGGAGGAGACGGCCGCATTGTCGAGTTCTGAAAGTAACGCCATGTAAAATCGTTATAATTTAGAATTTTTTTAAAAGTTAGAAATATATTTACCGGAAAGAAACCTGGAGGAATCGGACCCCCTGGCATTCCATCATTTGGGGGCATTTGACCCAATGGACTTGGCGCTGGACCAGCATTCTGTGAATTATTAATTTAGTAGACAAATATTGATTAACTATTATTTATAACTCACGTGAGCTATTCCATTAACTCCATATCCAGAATTGACAAACCCCTAAAAGTAAAAAAAGAATAGACAAACTGCAGTTCTTGGACTTGCACAATCGACGCAGATTGATTGTAAACTTCTTTCCGGACTGTTCTGCCGCAGATATCTCCTTTTCAAAACGCTCCGTTATTCTTCACCAACAGCACCTCCTGTAGTGACTTTGCTGGTGTTGGGAATTTCATAGACCACAACAGAACAATTCGCAAAAAAGTTGGAACAAAAAATGTAAATGTTAAGTTTAATTTCGCAAATTGTCTTTTTTTAAGTTTAATTTTTCGAGAAAGTTATGCATGAAATCTTACTAGGTATATATACACACTGAAATAATTCCTAGTAAATTAGAATATGTTGTGTATGTTTCTAGTTTTTGTTTAATTCAACTATTTTACACGAATTTACGTAATGTAAAATAAATCTAATAAAACGCGCCAAATAAGCAAGTAAAATTAATTTACTCATACAATAAGCAACGTATTATCAAAACTATCTACCATGCTCAGATAAAAACCCAAGGTCCTATACCTAAGGTCGAACGTAAACGTTTTACATTTACCCAATAGAATAATACTGTACTTTGTTTAAACATATACCGACTATAAAAAATATTTTTACATTCTGAATTTGAAGAGTTAATCATGAAAGAAAAAAATACATACATACACACATTCATTATATGTATGATCAGGTAATACATCTGTATAATGTTTATGTGCTCAATGTATGTATAGTAGAACAGGTTGCAAGATTGCCAAATCTAATATTAGTTTCACTATTTATAGTTTCTGTTTTAAGTGGTAATCTTTTTTTTTTTTGTTTTGTAAATTAAATTAGAATTTAATTAGAATCAAAAACAAAGGCCACATTTAGCACTGACTCTAATAGATATCTACAACTTTTATAAAAAGTAAACAATAGTAGTTTCAAAATATTTTAAAGTATTCGGATTGCTTTTTTGTGAAAATCTGAAGTATTTTTGGCAACATTGCATAAATTTGTATCCAGCAATACTGAGCTGGGCCATTGCACCTGGTAAAACGCGTATTAAGGCAACGTTGCCACGGTCCTTTTTAATAGTATTGATCCACAAAGAGATTGTAAATGCATGGCTACTCACATAATCGTGGAAAGCTTTTGCTTCTGACGAATGTTCGCACGTGTCTCGTCTTTCTGGGGCAGCACAATACAGGTCCCAAAATACGCTAAAATTTTATAATTTACGAAAAAAATCGAATAAGGTATATATCAAAACTTACCACCACCATGAATGTAAAAATCCAGGTGGTTCACCTAACGTTATATTTTTCTCCCACCTTATCTAAAATATTTAGCAAATTAAAACAGTCAAGTACTTAATGATTGTTTTTATATTTCATAGTAAATTTACCTCCGACAAAAAGGTTTGTGCGGCTTTTTGTGCTCCAATGTGAAGAAGATATTCGTAAACATACAGTGCAAGCCTGAAGAAGAAATGTATTTATTAACGTAAATTATTTGCTTAAATTCTCATTAGCAAAGTAAAAAACAATCATATTTAAATCTTCAGATAAGAAATTACAATGTCACGTGGTTTTGTTGTGATAAAACCACCCTAATTCTAATTGGACACAGCAAGAATTTATAAATAAATAAATGGTATTCTAATGCTACCAAGGGCGCTTCTATTTTTGCTCCAATTGTTTATTCTAAAAAATGCATTTATACTCACTTTTCTCGCGCTTGTGCGTCGGACGGTACAGACGACCCCTTTCCTTTCGCGTACATTTCTTTTGCATAAACCAACTCAAAAGACCGTAAACAGAATGCAGCGACTTTCGAATTTTATCATTTCTTGTTACACATTTATATTTCGAGCATATTCAACTTTTTACATTGTTAACGATACTTCAGCGCACATTGCCTTCTGGCTGTAGAGCACTTACAGCCAGATCTTTATTTGTTATTTGTACGTAAATATCACTTTGCAAAACAACTCACTGTCATTTTACAGGAATATATTAAACACACTACACACTTCACACGTCAAAATACTCACGACGCCGCTATCACTGTGATGTTGTTCAAACTGGGCATGCGTCAGTGTTACATTCCCGTTATCTATCTTCAATTTAGTACGAAGATCGTCCATTAAATTTATCAAATTATCACGCTTTATTATTACACGTAATTAAAAACACAGACTTTTCGCGTGTTTATGGTGGGTTTTACAAATTAATTATCAATTAATACTTCGATTTTTGCAAGAAACACACCTACTCGGACTAGCTGACGAACTAAACTTGGCAACGGCGTCTTTCCGAAGTGTGAACCGCTGCGACTGCGTACTTTCCCCACTCAAAATGAACAGGGTTGTATGTTATATGATCACTGATCATTAGGAAATAACTTCATCGTTCGAAACTACCACAAAAACTAATTCCCTTAAAAAAAAATTAAATGAAAATTCGTTTTACCTTGGTATTACATAATAAGTAAATTAATTAAAAAGTGAATTTAAACATTTACATAAATAATAATTCATTTCAAATTAATATACTGAAAGCCTTATGTCTACCATCGATAAATTGTTTAATTATGATGAATTTAAAAAACAACTTGAAGAAATGAAAAATCTTTCCGATAAATTACTGGATGGCTGGATAGTC